CAATATATGTTCCATTCTATATGCATCCGAAGAAGTGGGCTGTAGTCCACGAAAGCTTATGCTCTAATAAATTTGTTAGTCTCTAAGGTGCCACAAGTACTCCTGTTCTTCTTTAATCGATGAACGTATTTCCAGTTTCATCTTGAATGACTTTGATTTCACCAGTGTCTTTAGTTCTCTTATTGGGGGTCTTTGCCAGTCTATATATTTTTCTCTCATCCTCCTTCGTTTCAAGATGGGGATATAAGCCTTCCACGGCCTTAGCATTAGCAGCTGTCACCTCTTTCTTCAATATCCTTTTGGCTTTCTTCTACTACTGAAAGATCCTGCTGTTGGAGCGTCGCTCGTCACAGTTTTAAACATTTTTTTCTTTTCCTCCACGGCCTCTTGAACATCCTCATTTCACCAACAACTCTCACTGGGGAAAAAGAGTCTGGTTTTCGTTTCACCAAGCAGGCACTCTGCACATTCACGAGGTTTGCTTGCAACAGGATTCCACCCGACACGTATTTTCCCTTCGTTTATATGGATTAGCGTATTTAACCCAGGATATTGCTTCAACAATGACGAAACGAGGGGTTCAACAATGTTTCCTTTTGACATGATCACTTCACTTCCTGTAGGCTTTTCTATTATTGTTAGAACTCAGCAAACCCCTGAGTTTTCACTTCGGTGGCTGAACCGAACAAATGGAGGAAAAAAAGTTCTGGGTTGAACGAAACATTTTGTTTTACTATTTCGGAACAAACCAACCCAGCTACATTTCAAAACAAAACGTCAAAATGCTCAGTTGACTATTTTGCGTTTTTTCCCCCAGCTGAAACAATTGGCCGAATTTGGTCGCATCTTTCGAGAACTGTTCAACCCAAACACTTCACCCAGCTCTAACACTCATCTGAATGGGAAGAGTCACATTCCTCGATTTTCACGTCATTGCGATCTAGTTTGACCTAGATCTAACATAAGAACGGCCAGGCTGGGTCAGACCAAAGGTCCGTCCAGCCCAGTGTCCTGTCT